CTACTTTAGAATCGTATATTTGTCCTTTTGCTACTGGCTTATTTTGCTTAGCATAATGTCCTCAAGTTTCAGCATGTGACTGGATTTCCTTCTTTTTAAAGATTGCATTATATTCATTGAATGTATACACCACATTTTCTTTTTTCATCAACTTGTCAATGGACATTTGGGTCGTTTCCATATCTTGAATATTGTGAATAATACTGCAGTGAACAAGGGAGTGCACATCAGTCTTTGGTATTCTTATTTCAGTCCTTCTGAATACATACCCAGAAGCAGGATTGTTGAATCATATGGTAGTTTTACTTTTTTTTTTTTAAGAAACTCCATACTGTTTTCCATAATAGCTGCATCGTTTTACATTCCCAGCAACAGTGCATAAGAGTTTCAACTTCTCTGCATCCTCACCAACACTTGTTTTCTGTTCTTTTGATAGTTGCCATCTTGAAGGGTGTAGATGATGTCTCATTGTGGTTTTGATTTGCATTTCCCTAATGATTAGTGATGTTGAGCATTTTTTTTATATTCCTGTTGGCTATTTGTATATCTTCTTTGGAGGAATGTCAAGTCAAGTCCTTTGCCCATTTTTAAATCATTATTTGTTTTGCAGTTGCTGTTGAGTTGTAGGGATTCTTTATGTATTCTTGATAGTAACCTCATCACATACATGATTTCCAATTGTTTTCCCCCATTCTGCAAGTTGTGTTTTCACTCTATTGATTGTTTTCTTTGACATAAAATGCTTTAAGTTTGGTATACTCCCATTTGCCTATTTTTTATTTTGTTGCCTGTGCTTTTAGTGTTATATCAAATAAATCATTGTCAAATCTAATGTTCTGAAGATTTTCCCTATGTTTTCTTCTGTGAGTTTAATAATTTTAGGTCTTATGCTTAAGTAAGTTTTTAATTTGTTTTGCCTTAATTTTTGTATATGGTATTAGGTAGATGTCCAACTTCATTCTTTTGCATGAAATATCCAGTTTTCTCAACACTGTTTCTTGAAGAGACTGTCATTTCTCCATTGTGTAGGCTTGGCATCCTTGTTGAAAATCATCTGGCCATATGTGCAAGGAGTTATTTGGGGGCTCTCTATCTGGTCTCATTAGTCTGTATATCTGTCTTTATGCCAGTGCCACAATATCGCGATTACTGTTGCTTTGTAGTATCATTTTGAAATTAGGCAGTCTGAATTCTCCAACTTTGTTCTTTTTCAAGATTGTTTTAGCTATTCAGGCTCCCTTGAGATCCCACTTGGAATTTTATGATTTTTTTTCCATTTCTGTAAAAAAAAATGCCATTGGGATTTAGATAAGGATTGTATTGAGTTGGCATCAATTGAGATGATCATGTGGTTTTTGTCCTTTATTTTGTCAATGTGGTGCATTACATGGATTGACTTTTGTATATTGAACTATCCTTGATTCCAGATATAAATCCCACTTGAACTGAAGTATTATCTTTTTAACGTGCTGTTGAATTTACTAGTAGTTTGCTAGTATTTTGTTTAGGATTTTGGGTCAATATTCATCAGGGATATTGATTTGTAGTCTTCTTGTTGTGTCTTTCGTATCAGAATAAAGTTGGCCTCATAGAAGGTGTTTTGGAAGTGTCCCCTTCTGCTCTGAGGAGCAGTTTAAGGTTTGGTATTCATTTTTCTTTAAAAATTTGGTAGAATTCTACAGTGAAGCCACCTGGACCTGGGCTTTTCTTTGTTGGAAGGTTTTTGGTTAATGTTTCCATATCCTCATTGTATTCAATGTAGTTATAGGTCTGTTCAGATTTATTATTTCTTCAGGATTCAGTTTTGGTAAGGTTTATGTTTCTAGGAATTTATCCATTTCTTCTAGGTTGTCCAGCTGAGATATAATTAGTCATAGAAGTCTCTAATACTCTTTTTATTTCTGTAAAATCAGCTGTAATGTCTCCTCTATCCTTCCTAATTTTATCTATTTGATTCTTCTCTCATTTTCCTAAGTAGTCTAGCTAAGGATTTGTCAATTTTTGTGATCATAAAAGAATAACGTTCTTGGTTTTGTTGATTTTATTCCCCATTGTTTTTCTAATCTCTATTTACCTTTGCACTAATTTTTTTAAAAAATCTTTATTGCTGAAAGTATTAGACATGTCCCCTTTTTATTCCCATTGACCCCTTCTAGCCCACCACCCCAGGCCTCTATAACCCTATCACCTGTGTCCATGGGTTAGGCATCTATGCATACAAGTTTTTTGGTTGATTCCTCCCACCCACTCTCTCCTGCCTTCCCTCTGAGTTCCACAGTCTGTTCCATGCTTTTATATCTCTGGATCTAATTTGTTCAAAAGTTTATTTTGTTCATTAGATTCCACATATGAATAAGATCATGTGATACTTATCTTTCTCTGACTGGCTTATTTTGCTTAGCATAATACTCTTTAGATAACTCCATGCTGTCTAAAAGGGTAAGCAGTCCTTCTTTTTTACTGCTGCATAGTATTCCATGGTGTAAATGTACTACACGTTTTTTATCCACTCACCTGTTGATGGGCACTTGGTCTATTTCCAGATCTTGGCTATTATAGTAAATTGTGCTGATATGAACATTGGGGTGCATACATTCTTTCGGGTTGATATTTTGGGTTTCCTGGAAATATTCCTAGGAGTAGGATCACTGGATCAAATGACAGTTCCATATTTAATTTTTTGAGAAAACTCCATACTGTTTTCCATAATGGTTGGTTGCACCAGTCTCCATTCCCACCATCACTTTTCTACACATTCTTGCCAGCACATGTCATTTGTTGATTTGTTGATAGTAGCCATTCTAACAGGTGTGAGGTGATATCTCATTATTGTTTTAATATGCATCTCTCTGATGATCAGTGACTTTGAGCATTTTTACATATGTCTCTTGGCCATCTGTATGTCCACTTTGGAGAAGTAGTGTCCCTTATATATTTTGTATATTAACTCTTCATCAGAGGTATCATTGTCAAATATGTCCTCCCATACAGTGAGTGAAATGTTCTATAAATGTCAATTAAATTCATCTGATCCAGTGTGTCATTTAGAGTCACTGTTTCCATGTTAATTATTTTGTCTAGAAGATCTATCAGTGAAGTCCCCTACTATGACTGAATTGCTGTCAATCTCTCCCTCAAAGTTCTGTGGAAGTTATTTTGTATATTTAGGCGCTCCTTTATTGGGTGCATGTATGTTTACCAGGATTATGTCCTTTTATTGGATCAATGCCTTTAGTAGTGACTTTTATTGTCTCTTGTGATGGCTTTCATTTTGAAGTCTATTTTGTCAGATATGAATGTTGCCACCACAGTTGTTGTTGTTGTTTTCATTTCCATTTGCATGGGAAAATTTTTTCCTTAACTTCACTTTCATTCTGTGTGAGTCTTTTGTTCTGAGGTGGGTCTCTTATAGACAGCATACAGTTGGATCATGTTTTGTATTTATTCAGCTACCCTATGTTTTTTGATTGGAGCATTTAACCCATTTACACTTAAGGTTATTATTGTAGGTACTTATTTATTGCCATTTATTTACTCATTTTACTAGGTTTCTCTCTCTACTACTTCTCATTACAGCAGTCCCTTTAGCATTTCTTGCAGTGCTAGTTTGATGATGACAAATTCCTTTAGCCTTTTTTTTTTTTGTCTGGTAGCTCCTTATTTTACCATCTATTTTGATTGATAGCCTTGCTAGATATAGTAATCTTGGTTTCAGATCCTTGCTTTCCATTACCTTGAGTACTTCATGCCATTCCCTTCTGGCCTGTGGAGTTTCTGATGAGAAATCAGCTAACATCCTACGGGAGCTCCTTTGTAGCTAACAAATTGCTTTTCTCTTGCTGCCTTTAAGATTCTCTCTTTGTCTTTAATTTGGGGCATTTTAATTATGATGTGTCTGGGTGTGGGCCTGTTTGGGTTCTTCTTGCCTCCTGAACTTATGTGACTTTTTCCTTCACCAGATTAGGTAAGTTTTCTGCCATTATTTCTTCAAACATGTTCTCTGTCCCCTGCTAACTTTTTTCTTTTCCTGACACTCCCATTATGAAAATACTGTTATGATTCATGTTGCTCCCTTAAGCTGTCCTTCTGTTTTATAATTGTTTTTTCTTTTTGGTTCTCTGATTGAGTGATTTTTTTTTCTGTCTTCTAATTCACTGATCCAATCCTTGGCTTCCTCTTATCTGCTGTGTATTCCTTCCAATGTGTTCTTTATTAATGCTATGTTGCTCTTCATAGTTACTATATTCTTCCTCATGCTGTTTAGCATCTTTGCCATCATTATTCTGAACTCTGTATCTAATAAATTTCTTATCTCCATTTCATTTATCTCTTCTTTGATAGAATCCTCTTTTTCTTTTGTGTGGGCTTGTTTGTTTGTTTTTTGTCTCCCTATTTTGGCTGCCTGTTTGGGTTTGTGACTCTGTACTAGTAGATATGCTACACATCTCAGTCTCTAATGCAGGGCAATGTCACATGCTGTTTTGAATGGTCCTGTGTGCCTTATTGGAGCTATCAACAGTCCACAGCTTATGACTCCCTCTTCTGGGTCTGGGTGCCTTTGGAAAGGACCAAGATGTACATCAAGGCCTGCTTTTCCGAGCCCTAGGCCCCAAAGGATAAATACTGTATAATCTGACTAGTATGAGCTACCGACAATAGTCTAATTCACAGAGACAGCAAGTAGAATGGTGGTGGCCAGGGGCTGAGAGAAACGGAGAGTGGGGAGTTATTGTTTAATGGTACAGAGTTTTTATTTGGGATATTGAAAAGTTCTGAGGCTAGAATGTGGTGATGGTTACACAACATTGTGAATGTACATAATGCCACTAAATTATTCATTTTAAAATTATTTAAATGGCAAATTTTGTTATGCATATTTTACTAGAATGAAAAAATTTTAATTTTATTTCCTCCTCCCTTAAATTGTTTTAAACTACCCTTGTAGGATAAGTGATGTCATCTATAAAGAATGGTTAGTAGTGCTTTTTTGTATTTTTCCTCTAACAAATATAATTTAAAAACATGTTCATCTGGCCTGGCCGGCATGGCTCAGTGGTTGAGCATTGAGCTATGAACCAGGAGATCACAGTTCAATTCCTGGTCAGGGCACATACCCAGGTTGTGGGCCAATTCCCAGTGCAAGAAACAGCTGATCAATGATTCTCTCTCATTGTTGATGTTTCTATCTTTCCCTCTCCTTCCCTCTCTCTGAAATGAATAATTATATATATATATATATATTAAAAAAAAAAACACAACAACAACAAAACAACATGTTCATCTGATTTCCAATCACATAATCAAGTGAATGGGCATGGTTAGTGCCATATGCAATAGTCATGTCCTAGGCATCATTAATACCCATACTGAGATCCACATAAATGTCCCTCATGATAAGATTCTGACTAAAGCCATGAACATCACCAAACATCTCTGCATGCAGACACAGCTCCCTGGTGTTTACTGTTTAAGCAGTGGTTCTCAACCTTCCTGATGCCGCCACCCTTTAATACAGTTCCTCATGTTGTGGTGACCCCCCAATTTCATTGTTACAAATTGAACATAATTAAAGCATAGTGATTAATCACCAAAACAATATGTAATTATATATGTGTTTTCCGATGGTCTGAGGCGACCCCTGTGAAAGGGTCGTTCGACCCCCAAAGGGGTCACGACCCACAGGTTGAGAACCACTGCTGTTTAAGGATCACCTTGGTCTCCGGGCTGCGCAAGAGCAGACACTCAATGGCCTTTTGCAAATTGATGGCCCTTCTGATGAAAATGCTGATGGGAAAGGGTCTGTAGTGCTGTGTCTCTGTCTCCTGCTACCTGGTCAATTTCCCGTGGGATATAGTGTTCATCTTTCACAGAGAACAGATTCGTGGTAATAAATGGATGACCATGCTTTCCCCACTGAATCAAAATGTCTTTCAGCATCCAGAAGCATGTGGTTTAAAGACCCCGGTTCCACGGTGGTCAAAATATTTGAAGGCTAGTGGAAAAGAAGTTGATAAATCTCTGAACAAAAGGAAAATAAAGATGAAATTTTCAAATGCACACAACATGTCTAAAATTCTATCCAAGGTCATTTCTAGCTAGAATAGATTTGCTGCCTATGGGAGGTAGTGAACTTTACCAAATACATTAAAATCTTAACAAAAATTGGAACTCTTTATAAGAATATAAGATGAAGAAGAAAAATGTTAATATTTGTAAATAAAATACAAAATGTAACATTTTATTAAAAACCCTAATCAGAAAAGAAAAGCAAAGAATTCTAATTAGGTAAAAAATAATCTCCAAAATGCAACTGTAATTTCAAAATAAAATAACATACATACTTTCAGAACTTTTTGTATGTAGTTAATCGTTGACACAATGTTGAATCTCCCATGAGGTAAATAAGTCTCATTTTACTCCATCTGTTGCAAAATGATGTGACCTGCCTTTTCCACAGTATAACCCCTGGAAAGGTATCTTCATTCCAACCTGGCATTTCTTTTCTAAGTTCTAACTCTCTGGCAATAAAAACTCCCACAGTAAGTCATTTTTATTACCACAAATAATTTAGGAAACACCTTTCTCGTTTTCTCCCCCTACCCCTTTCTCTTTCCCTCCACCCTTCTCTACCTCTGCCCTCTGCTCTTCCACAAATACGTGTTAAACAAGTCCATCATAAAGGGGGATACAGCGTTCCCGCTGAGTAGTTTTTCCTGGTGCGGGGATAGATTTTCTCTTGCACATTAACATGTTTCCGTGGCTACAGCTCAGGCCACTGGACCGGGAGACAGCTGGCCAAATCAGGAGGAAATGTTTGGCCGTGAAACAGCAGAACTCGGCGTCCCCGCTGATCGCTGTACTGATGACATTGGCCTTGCGGAATTGTAAATCTCCCCTCCCCACGCTACTTATCCATGAAAAACACCTGAACATTTATGAAATGAGTGCCACATACATCTTATTTTGTGTGTGCCAGAATCGTGTTCTCTGGCTAATTCTAACACCCCTTGAATGTTTCATTGTTGTGCTCAGAACTGAACGTAATAGTCTGTGTGGTCTGGTTAGTGCAGAAAAAGATAGGCCCATTACCTCCTTATTCTGAATACCCCACTATAAAAGTAGCCTAGTCCTGGGCCATCGTCCTGTACACCAAAATGGGTGGGGGTTCCATTCCCAGTCAGGGCACATACCCAGGTTAGGGGTTGTATCCCCAGTCAGGGCTCATAGGAAAGGCAACTGATCTCTCTCTCTCTCTCTCTCCTTTCCTCAGTCTCTGAAATCAATAAATGTATCCTCGGGGAGGATTCTTTTACAAAGTAGCCTAAGCTGTCTTCACTGACTCATATCAGGCTTCCACTAGGTAAAACAGCACATTTTTATATTTGTGCCACTTTAAAGCCACACCTTCTCTGTCACCTACCTAGATTGTTGGGATTTGGGGTATAAGTTTAGGAACTTAAACTTATCCATATTAAATTATACCAGGTTTATAAATGGCTCTGAAAAAATAACAGTCTGGCACTATCTTCTAAGAAACCACCGACTTTACCAGAAATTACTGTCCAGGCAACAGAGAAACCAGAGAGATTAAGAGGACTCAAGTTGTCTCAAGAATCTAAGAACCTTCTTTGGTGTAAAAGTTGGGCATGGAAGATGGTTGCCACAGCAGAAAGGGAATCTGACTTTTCCACAGAGCGTGAACTTTAGAATGGGCTCTTTATTTATACCTATGTTCTCCACAGGGTTTTGCAAAATTCCTTGCCTAGAGTAGGTCCTCAATAAATATTTGCTGAATTCATGAACAGAGTGAATGTAGGCTCTGTTGACTGTTATAACAGAAGTCTTTTACTTTTCTGAAATTCACTTTAATTTCAGAGCAGCAGAAACATCACTTTTATGAGTGAGATGGTTTTATATTGACCACTGAAGTCCATGTGATAAAATTGAGGGGGAAAATCACAAAAATTGCTAGTTTATGGGCCTTTCACTGAGATGGTTTGGCTGAAAAACAGGTTAGAAACCTCCAAAGGAATTTCCTAACTCCGAGTTTCACCTGACACATTTTCACAGAGCACCAGTACCCAGTTATTGGCTTTTCAGAAATAAATCTCAAGTTTAAATAAAATTAACCTGTATGGCTCTAGCCGGTTTGGCTCAGTGGATAAAACGTCAGCCTGCAGACTGAAGGGTCCCAGGTTCGATTCCTGTCAAGGGCACCTACCTTGGTCACAGGCTCCCAGCCCTGGTTGGGGGCATGCATGCAGGAGGCAGCCAATCGATGTGTTTCTCTCACATTGGTGTTTCTCTCTGTCTCTCCTTCTCCCTTCCACTCTCTCTAAAAATCAATGGAAAAAATCTCCTCAGATGAGGATTTAAAAAAATAACAACAATAACCTGCACATTTTGAGAATAGGTAGCTAAAATTAAGGGTTGCCAAGTTTTTTATATCTGACTCCAGACAAAAAATGCAACTCCTACAAAAATAAAATCTCTTGTATAAAACCCAAAACAATTGATACTATCTGTCACAGGAAATGAGAGATCAAAACGGTAAATGTAACCCAAGTCAGTTTGGCTTAGTGGATAGAGCATTGGCCGGCAGATCAAAGGGTCCCGGGTTTGATTCCAGTCAAGGGCATGTACCTTAGTTACAGGCTCCTCCCCAGCCTGGGCCCTGATTGGGGCTCGTGCAGGAGGCAACCAATTGGTGTGTTTCTCTCACATCGATGTTTCTCTCTGTCTTGCCCTATCTCTTCCGCTCTCCCTAAAAATCAATGGAAAAACATTCTTTGGTGAGGATTAACAAAAATTTTTTTAAAAAAAACACCTTGTAAATATAGAAAAAAAATTAAGGTAAATGTCAAATATCTCTTAACACTCCGGTGTGGGGTGAATTTCCCGCCAAAATATAAGATGGCTCTGTCTTTTGGTTTTGTTCCATCCACCAAAAGGGTGGATTACAAACAAATATTTGGTAATACGCAGTTACAATCGGCCCGAGTTTACACGTTTCCCGCACTCCACCGCAAATCTATATGAACCGAGTTAAAGACGGCTCCCGCGGAGTACGCGCAATTCACGCGAGCCGACTTAACTCGTTTCCCCCACTCCAAGTGTTAAAATAAGAATGTCCTTCAAGTGAATAGATTGTGAACACGACAGGCAATAGCACAATAGTCTTACTGTTGCATTGTAAGACCTTGCTGGAGGTAAAGTCTTTCAGCAATTCAACTCCTATGTTGGACCTTCAAAAAAATGGAAAGAAAGTTAGCCTGATACCTTCCCAGATATTAAAGTAAGAATTAATCACTGTTTAGGTGGATTGAACCACCCTTAACTTTCTCTGTAGATTTTTTTTTCTTTATTTGGATTTATTTAAGATATTCTGGTGGAGTGAATGGGTTAGGATTCTGGAAAACTGTTCTGTTAATGCCAAGAGTCTGGAGATCCAGAGAGAGTCACTCATGTTCCATGTAGAATTAATCAAATATCTATTTCTTTGCATTTCCTTCTAATTTTTAACAAGCCATGCTCTGCTCACTTTACCACCTGTAGTAGTTTGGGCTTTCATTGCATTTTCCCCGCGCTTCTCCACCTGTGCACGCATCAGAGTTGTGTGAGTGCTGCTGCCACTCCGATTGCTTGGCTTCCTCCCACAGCTTCTGGTTCAATAGTTCTGGGAGCTTGAAGAGAGATCTGTACCCCCAGGTTTGCAGCAGAATTGGTCACATTAGTCATGTGTGAAAATAACCTATGTGTCTGTCAATGGGTGAATGTAGAGGTGTCCTGTATGAGGCCCTGTGATTTTACTACCAGCTGAACTGACTCTGAGCAATAGTTCTCATTATTCATCGACACAATAAGGGAGTCTGATTAGGAAAAGTTGGTCTGAACCAAGTCTGCCCTTTTGTATCAATTATTGTATTTGAAGTCACTGGCATAAAAATTAACTATATAACCTGGTCAGGTGGCTCAGTGGTTGAGCGTTGACCTATGAATCAGGAGGTTATGGTTTGATTCCTGGTTAGGGGATATGCCCAGGGTGTGGGCTTGATCCCCAGTCTGGGGCATGCAGGGGGCAACTGATTCTCTGTCATCATTGATGTTTCTATCTCTCTCTCCCTCTCCCTTCCTCTATGAAACCAATAAAAATATTTTTAATTAACTATATAAAACTAGAGGCCCGGTGCACAAATTTGTTCACCAGTGGGGTCTGTCAGCCTGGCCTAAGGGATTGGGCCCAGATTGTGAGAGGGCACAGGCCAGGCCGAGGGACCCCACTGGTGCACGATTGGGGCCGGGGAGGGACAAGGGAGGACTCCAGAGCATGTCTGGCCCATCTCACTCAGTCCCGATCGGGTGGACCCCAGCAGCAAGCTAACCTACCAGTCAGAGCATCTGCCCCCTGGTGGTCAGTGCATGTCATAGTGACTGGTCGACTGGTCAACTGTCTGCCCCTGGTGGTCAGTGCATGTCATAACGAGCGGTTGAGTGGTTGACTGTCTGCCCCCTGGTGGTCAGTGAACATCATAGCAAGCGGTTGAGTGGCCTTAGCATATCATTAGCATATTACACTTTGATTGGTTGAACAGACAACTGGACACTTAACATATTAGGCTTTTATTATATAGGATAAGTTTATATTATTTGCTGATTGATTTTGAAGTATTTACTAGCACCTTATGAAGTGATCCCCTCAAGAAGTCTAGTACCCACTGGCATCATCCGTAGTTATTACAGTAATATTGACCATATCTCTATGCTGTACTTTACATCCCCATGACTATTTGAAACTACCAATTTGTACTTCTTAATCCCCTTACCTTTTTCATCCAGCTCCTAAGTCTATTTTCTGTATCAATGAGTTTGTTTCTGTTTTGTGTATTTGTTTTGATTTTTGGATTCCACACGTAAGTGAAATCATATAGTACTTGTCTTTCTCTGTTTGACTTATTTCACTTAACATAATACCCTCTAGGTTCATCCATGTTGTTGCAAATTGTAAGAGTTCATTGTTTTTTATAGCCTAGTAGTATTCCATTGTGTATATGTACCATATCTTCTTTATTCAATTATCTATCAATGGACACTATTGTATATGAAATGTCCTTTTAGGTCTCTTGTTATAGTCTTTTGTGTTAAAGACTATTTTGTCTGATATCAGTATTAATTACTACCCCAGCTCTTTTTTCCATTTCAATTTTCTATCTTTTCCTCATTTCAGTTATTGTATTTTAATTTCTAACTTTTTAAAAAATATTTTTATTTATTTTAGAGAGGGAGAGAGGAATAGAAACATGAATGATGAGAGAGAATCATTGATCAGCTGCTGGCTGCTTCCTATACACTAATCCCCACTGGGGATTGAGCCCACAACCTGGGATCCAACTGTGATCTCCTGGTTCATAGGTCAATGCTCAACCACTGAACCACGCTGGCCGGGCTTAATTTCTAACTTTTTAAAATGTTTCCTAGCTCTTTGTTGAAGCTCTCACTGAGTTTATCTATTTGTTTCTTAAGTTGCAGATGTCCTGCGGCTCCTGTGGCTGTCAGCCCTGTTCACAGCATAGCCTCTCCCAGGCACCGCCAAGCCCAGCACATGCAGCTACCAACCCCAGATCACTTTAGAGCTCCTTCCAGGTGGCGTGGGGCTGGTGCTGAGCCACAGGCAGCAGCTGATCTGGACTTGCACCAGAGCCCCTCTATTTGTTCATCATAACTATTGTCAAAGACTTTTTTAGAACAATATAGGTAGTTATTCCAAAACAATTATGCAACATCACATATATCATATTCTAATAAATAGTTGCGTGAATGAAAGATTCATGAAAAATCCACTTTTTTTCTTAATTTTATTTTTTCAATTAGTTTACATCCAATATTATTTTTTATTAGTTTCAGTGGTACAGCTCAGTGGTTAGATAATCATATACTTTATGATTTCAAGTGCCTACCTGGCACAATACACAATATTATTGGCTATATTTCCTTTGCTGTACTTTAAATCCCCATGACTATTTTATAACCACCAATCTGTACTTCTTAATCCTTTCATCTTTTTCATAGTCCCTAACACCCCTCCCCTCTGGCCACCATCAGTCTGTACTCTGTCTGTTTCAATTTTGTTTGCTTGTCTGTTTTGTTCTTTAGATTCCACATATAAGTGAAATCATCTTATATAATAAAAGCCTAATATGCAAATCAGGAACAACCGATCAGAGGCAGGCAGGGCCGGTGAGCGGGCGGCACCAGGCCAGCCAAGGCGGGTGCCAGTGGGCAGAGGGAGGGGATGGCAATCGGGAGGTGGCGGTGACCAGCAGTAGTGGAGGGGCGATGGGGGGGGCGGGCGGGGCAGGGCTGGTGATTGGCCTGCTGGTCACCTCCTGCAGAGGAAGGCCACTGACAGCAGCCGCAGGGCAATGGGGGGCAGGGCCGGAGCTGCCCCCTGGTGGTCAGTGCACTCCCACAGGGGGAGCACCCCTCAGCCTCAAGCCTGGCTGATGGCTGGTGAGTGCAGCTGCGGCATGAGCCTCTCCCGCGGACACTCCCCCTGCATGCCTGAGCAGCAGTGAGGGCAGGCACAGCGGGGCTGGCATGAGCGGGAGCAGCATGGCACCCAGCCCAGGCTTGGGCTCCTTCCCGGCTGCCTGCTGCTTCGTACACTACTTCGTGCTGTGCGGGATTGACGCGGACAGTGGGCTGGAGCCCGAGGAGCTGGTGAGTAAAGCCAGGTTGCAGCGCCTCTGAGGTCCACTGATGCCCGCAGGCCAGGCCAAGGGACCCCACTGGTGCACGAATCCATGCACCAGGCCTCTAGTATAATATAAAATCACCTGTTGATTGATGACTTTGGATAGCTGAATGCTCACCAAGAGAAAGGGGTTGTATTTAGATATCTCAATTGACTAAATCTCCCTTATAAAATTCAACAGTTTAAATAATTTTGCTTAAAGTATAAAGCATTGTCATTAAAACTATTTGAATATGGTGTGAGAAGGTGGTCTTATTTTACTTTTTGCATATATCTGTCCAACTTTTCCAACACCATTTATTGAATAGACTATGTTTACCCCACTTATGTTTTTGCCTCCATTGTCAAATATTAACTGACTACAAAGGCATGGTTTTATTTCTCGGCTCTCTATTCTGTTCCACTGATCTACGTGTCTGTCTTTATGCTAGTACCATGCTGTTTTGATTCTATGGACTTGTAATATAGTTTAATATCAGGTAGCATGATTCCTCCAACTTTATTCTTCTTTCTCAAGATTGTTAAGGCTATTCATGATCTTGCGTTGTTTCATATAAGTTTTTGGAATATTTGTTCTTGTTCTATAAAATATGCCATTGGTGCCTTTTTAAAAATTTTCATTGTTGAAAGTATTACGTGTGTCCCTTTTTTCCCCATTGACACCTTCTAGCCATTGGTATCTTGATAGGAATTGTGTTAAACCTATAGATTGCTTTGGGTAGTATTTACACAATTAAATACTACTCAGCCATAGAAAAGAAGGAAATCTTACCTCTTGCGACAGCATGGATGGGCCTGGAAAACTAAGTGAAATAAACCAGTAGAGAAAGACAATGAGCATATGACTTCACTCATATGTGGAATCTAATGAACAAAATAAACAAAGTGGAGACAGAGAACAGACTGACAGCTGTCTGAGGAGAGGAGGTTGAGGGCTGGGTGAGAAGAGTGAAGGGATTAAGCAAAGAAAAAAGAGAAAGACTCATGGACACAGACAACAGAAGGGTGATTTCCAGAGGGAAAGAGGGGTTGAGGGAAGTAGAAGAGGGCAAAGGAAGGATAGATGGTAATGGAAGGAGACTTGACTTGGGGTGGGTGGTAAACACAAAATACAGATGATGTCTTGTGGAATTGTGCACCCGAAACCTATACAATTTAATTAACCAATGTCACCCCAATAAATTCAATTACTGGTGAAAATGGAGACTTACTATTATTTTACATTATATTTATTTTAATACTGACGTGTTTCAACCTTCGTTTCCTTTGAATACTTCCTTCTTCTCCTCTGAATGGTCTATTTCCTTTTACTTTGATTTCAATGCTTTTATTTCTCAGTTACTATTAGTTCTTTATATAATAAACATTGTAACATTTAGTCTCTCAATTTTACACAAAATATATTTTATCAGTTTACTGCTTGACAGTTTTAGAGGTATTTAATATTTAAAGCACTGAAAAATTTCTTCGTCACACAACTAGCATTGCTTCTTATCTTAGACTGTTCTCCACACTTTAATTTTTTAAATATTCAACTCTATTTTTCTATACTTTTCCCCACAACCTCTGCAACACTTGTCTTATTGATAATAGCCATCCTGAAAGTTTTTTCATGTACTTTTTACCCAGTTTCCCTAATGGTGACAGCTTGAAAAATTTTAGTAAAATATCACAACCAGCAAGTAGACACTGATATAGTCAAGATATAGAACATTTCCATTACCAACCTTAAAGCTCCTTTATGTTGGCTTTTTTTAACCACACATATTTCCTCCTACCCCACCCTCCCTAATCCCTTAACTCCTGGCAACCATTTTTCTGTTCTCTAGTTCTATAATTTGTCATTTCTATATTTGTTAGACCAAAAAAGTAAACACAGACAAAAATCCTTGCTTTCATGTAGGTCACCTGGTAGTAGGTCCAGATAGACAATCATCAATTAACATAATAAATAGATAAATTATACAGTATTTTAATTTAGAAAGTAAAGGGTATTTTTGGTGGGGGGGAATGTCAGAATCAGGGAAATACTAAGAGATGGAGATGAAGCTGTTTCTAGTGTTAAACAAATGATTGTGTAACAAGTGATTAAAGTAGGCTGAGACTGGAGGCAGGGAAACTAATTAGAAAACTATTCAACACCATAGACAAGAAATGACAAAGGACTAGGACTAAAGCTAGACAGTGAGGGTGGAGAAAACAGGATAGATTTGAGAGATATCTAGGAGGTAGAATTTATGAGACTGCTTGTGGAGAGTGTTGGCTTGGTTGACTAATGAACTGTGACAACACAGGAGAGGAAGGAGAAAGAGCAGGGAATTTGTTTCCAGTTGATGCTGGTGGTGTTGTTTTTTTGCCAAGGAGGGTGGTGGGAGATGATAAATCAGTGCGTTTCTCTTTGTTGGGGACACGAGTGGAAGACTGAGGTGGAGATTCCCGATGAGCAGCACATGCAGGGTGCGGCAAAAGCAGGTTTACAGGTGTTGCTATAAAAATAATGCAATGATTAATAAACAATAATACAGGAATAAACTCTTGCGTACTCGCAACAGTAAACCTACTTTTGCCCCGCCCTGTATTTCAAGAATGGGAATCAGAATGGATCTCAGTTCTGGGAGTACATAGGCAGAGATTCTCAAACTTTAGCATAAGAATCAACTGGGGAGCTTGTTAATACTTAAGCTCAGGCCTAAAAGACTTCAGTAGCTCTGGAATAGGACCTCAAATCTGCATTTTACACATACATGCACAAACACAGGTGTTCAGGTCCAAATCTCACTTTAAGAAGCACTAATATTGGAAGCGTGCCGTGCCCTGCATGGCAAGGTTCAGGATCTGAAGGAGGGGCCGACACACAAATGAAAATGCTACACAAGAAATATGAATTTAGAAGGCATGGGGGGCCAGGTGGAAACCTCTTTTGTGAAGAGGCTCACCAAGACTGGGTCCGGTCTGCTTTTTATTCACTCTGAATACACATTTGCCCTTTAGCAATGCATACAGGCAGATCAAAGGTAAAGTTTGGTATACAATGTAAAGATTATCAGTTTGGGAAATCACCTCGAGCCACTGAATATCAATGTCCATTGGCCTTCCAATGTCTCTTTTTGCACTTTTATGCTAATTGCTGTTTGCTTTAGCCTCTGGCAGTAGTGGATGGGATCTGAGCGTGTAAATTGAAGGATACAAGTGTGAAAGAGAAGAGGATTAAAGGTAGAAAGGTAGAGAGCATAGATATATAGGGAGGAATTGCAAAGAGAAACATTCTGAGCTGTGGTCTGAGAGCTCTATTATTCACCAGTTCACATCAATGCCTGAATGTCCTGGACTTGTGGCCCTTCTTATTTGGAGCTGGGGGTTTCTGTTAAACCAAGGTGAGAGACATTTTGAAAAGAAGTTGGGTTCAAATGTAGAAGAACCTTGAGTGGCTAAGGAGTTGCTCTGGTTCTGTCATGTGTGAAAACCATGATGAAAGTATTTGATCGGGACAAGAGGATGATGAAGGCAGAAGTGTTGAAAGATCATTTTTGTACTACCTGGTTGGGAGGAGGAGAAAATGAAGCAAGATCAGTTAAGAAAGACTACAGAAAACGAAAATAAAAACAGTAACTGAACTATGCAAAGAATAAGAAAACCGCTGTGAAGAAGTCAGAGAACTGAAACGGGTTTAATTGGATTGGAGCCTTGGAGACAAAGGCCAAAGAGAATGTTTAGCCAGGATGATTTTTAGCCAGGATTTTAGCCAGCAGTGCCAAATTATATAGAGATGGCTGGAAACCCACCTGTCACTAAAAGAATAATAATAGCACAGATATTGTCAGAGGGATTATGGCTAAACAGAGAACTTTCTCACCCACATCTATTGCTAAGATGATATGCTTTTAACTTAAATTTTGCCTTGAGAAAGATGAGTATTCAAAGTCACTGTGATCTTCCCTGAAGTTCTGAAAAAGGAAAAAGTTCCTACCTTTATTTCTTTTAAAGACAAGTAAATGGCCCAGAAAACTAAGATAAATATCAGCATCACCAGTAATTTACGAGCTGTTGCATTTGGAAACATAGTGAGTACACCAAACAAAAAAGAGGAGAAATAATCACACATTAAATAAATTAAACATGACATTGCTCTGTATATTTTGGTTCCTCCTCAGTGCTTTCCAGAACAGGATTATGTTCTATATGCTGCTATCTCCTGGGTTTCTGGAAAGTTCCATTATATGTTCTTATAGAATTCAGAAACAACAACCCTCTTTGAAGCAGGGAATTGACCTGGTTGAAGGACTCTTGGTTCCTGACCTTCTTCAGTTTGAAGTGACACCCAGGCTCTGAGCCATTTCTCTCATCAAGGTTTTTACCCAGCACAACTGTTTACCCTAAGAAAACATGTTTCTGGTGCCCTCCAATGAATCCTGGTCTCTAATTCTCTTGGATGCACACACATGTGTTTGGTGCCCTTCCTCCCCAATCTTATCTGCCTCCAGAGACTTCATTTTAAATCTCCCATTTGTGTCTTTAGGTAGATTGCTTCCACCTCAGGGTTTTAGTCTTCTCATGCTAACGAGGTTAAGAAAGATTGTATAAAGGGAAAGGATGTATTCTAGAGAATTGTCACTGTTGAATGGTTGGGATTTTAGTTTTTTAAGTCCAGAATCCCAAAAGTATGTGGCAAAGAGCTAAATTATGGCAGGTTTTTCTCAAACTTTTTTGCCCAGGACCACAGTAAGAAAATCATATCAAATTATCAAAGCCTATTTCAGGGCGCACGCATACACACACACACACACACACACACACACACAATAAAACGACATTCATATTACTGCGTGTTTTCTAGTTATTCTATTTTAATCCATTACATTTTAACCCATTTTTAAAGTATTTTTCATGTCCAAGTAAACAATGTTACTATACCAAAGAGCTGTAAGGCACCATTTGAAAAGCACTGGCCGATCTGTGGATCATCCTCCTGTCTCTGCCATTAAACCCGCAAATACGAGTTAGCAGGTACCACACCTGTGGATGAATATTTCCTCCATCATATTCTCATGCTCTCTCACAGGAATTACAGTTGTCCAGAGCTTTTTTGGTTAGAACCGTCTTTGCATTAATTTCAGGGTTGGAGTTTCCCTATAAGCTTCATTGATCAAAAGCTGAAAAGCCATTTGTGGCGACAGTGTGCCAGCTGGACTCACAGGCATCCCTTCGGATGGCCTGTAGCTGCCCACTTCACAGAGCCAGAAGATGGAAGCCAGGAGGGAGTGCGGAAGTTTGTTTTAGGGGATGGATATGGCCAATCACAGTCCAGGATCACCTTTGGCTGAGACCTCACATATTTCTGTACACAGTGCACTTCCCCTTCCTTGCCTTGTTTTGCTGTCCTGCAGGATTAGTCACTTCCACAATAGCAGGAGAAGTGTCAGGAAAACTGGAAAGAGGGAAAGCAGAAGCTCTTGTCCACAGTTCCTGCACCACTGAGAATGGATCTGGCTGGTTCTTCTCAATATGTGGAGTGTGTTCTGTTTATTTTTCCTTTTCCCCCACCAGTTTATTTTGTTCATTAGATTCCATGAACAAGTGAGACCATGTGATAATTATCTTTCTCTGACTGGTATATATTTTGCTCAGGATAATGCTCTCCAGGTCCATCCATGCTGTTGCAAAAGGTAAGAGTTCCTCCTTTTTTATCACCATGTAGTATTCCATTGTGTAGATATACCAAGGCTTTTTTATCCAATCATCTCCTGAGGGGCACTTGGGCTGTTTCCAAATCTTAGCTATTGTAAATTGTGCTGCTATGAACATAGGGGGGGAAATATGCTTTCTGATTGGTATTTCTGGTTTCTTAGGATATATTCCTAGAAGTGGGATCACTGGGTCAAATGGGAGTTTCATTTTTAATTTTTCAAGGAAACTCCATATTGTTTACAACAGCGGCTGCACCAGTCTGCATTCCCACCAGCAGTGTACTAGAGTTCCCTTTTCTCCACAACCTCACCAACACTTGTCTTTGGTTGATTTGTTGATGGTGGCCACTCTGACAGGTGTGAGGTGATACCTCATTGTCGTTTTAATTTGCATCTCTCTGATGATCAGTAACTTTGAGCATTTTTGTATGTCTCTTCACCATCTGTATGTCCACTTTGGAGAAGTGTCTATTGAGGTCCTTTGCCCATTTTTAAAATAGATTGTCTTTCTTTTGTTAAGCTGTATGAGTTCCTTCTATATTTTGGAACTTAACCCCTTATTGGATGTATCATTTGCAAATATGTTTTCCCATACAGTGGGCTTTCTTTTTTTTTAATTGTTTTATTGCTTAAAGTATTATAAAGAGTGTTATATATGTCTCCTTTTTTTTCTCCCCTAGACCCTCCCCTAGCCTCCCATGCCCCCCAGTGTCTTGTGTCCATTGATTATGCTTGTATGCATGCATACAACTCCTTCGGTTGATCTCTTACCCGCCCCCCAACCCTCCCCAGCCTTCCCGCTGTAGTTTGACAGTCTGTTCGATGTTGCTCTGCCTCTGTATCTATTTTTGCTCATCAGTTTATAATGGTCTTAATTATCCATAAATGAGTGAGATCATGTGGTATTTTTCTTTCATTGACTGGCTTATTTCGCTTAGCATAATGCTCTCCAGTTCCATTGATGCTGTTGCAAATGGTAAGAATTCCGTCTTTTTTACAGCAGGATAGTATTCCATCGTGTAGATGTACCACAGTTTTCTAATCCATTCATCTGCTGATGGGCACTTAGGCTGTTTCCAGATCTTAGCTATGGTGAATTGTGCTGCTATGAACATAGGGGTGCATATATCCTTTCTGATTGGTGTTTCTGATTTCTTGGGATATATTCCTAGAAGTGGGATCACTGGGTCAAATGGGAGTTCCATTTTTAACTTTTTGAGGAAACTCCATACTGTCTTCCATAGTGGCTGCACCAGTCTGCATTCCCACCAGCAGTGCACAAGTGTTCCCCTTTCTCCACATCCTCTCCAGCACTTGTCGTTTGTTGATTTGTTGATGGTAGCCATTCTGACAGGTGTGAGATGGTACCTCATTGTTTTGATTTGCATTTCTCAGATGATTAGTGACTTTGAGCATGTTTTCGTATGTCTCTTGGCTTTCTGAATGTCCTCTTTTGAAAAGTGTCTATTTAGGTCCTTTGCCCATTTTTTGATTGAATTGTTTATCTTCCTTTTGTTAATTTGTATGAGTTCCCTATAAATGTTGGAGATTAAACCCTTATCGGTGATAACATTGGCAAATATGTTCTCCCATGCAGTGGGCTTTCTTATTGTTTTGCTGATGGTTTCTTTTGCTGTGCAGAAGCTTTTTATTTTGATGTAGTCCCATTTGTTTATTTTCTCTTTAGTTTCCAATGCCCTAGGAGCTGTATCAGTGAAGAAATTGCTTCGGCATATGTCTGAGATTTTGTTGCCTTTGGATTCCTCTAGTATTTTTATGGTTTCCCGTCGTATATTTAACTTCTTTATCCATTTTGAGTTTATTTTTGTGTATGGTGTAAGTTGGTGGTATAGTTTCATTTTCTTGCATGTACCTGTCCAATTTTACCAGCACCATTTATTGAAGAGACTGTCTTGACTCCATTGTATGTTCTTGCCTCCTTTATCAAATATTAATTGAGCATATTGGTTCGGGTCCATTTCTGGGCTCTCTATTCTATTCCATTGAGCTATATGTCTGTTCTTGTGCCAGTACCAGGCAGTTTTGAGAACAGTGGCTTTGTAATACAGCTTGATATCTGGTATTGAGATCCCACCTACTTTGTTCTTCTTTCTCAGGATTGCTGCAGCTATTCGGGGTCTTTTTTATTCCAGATGAATTTTTGGAGAGATCGTTCTAGATCTGTGAAATATGCCGTTGGTATTTTAATGGGAACTGCATTGAATTTATAGATTGCTTTGGGTAGTATGGACATTTTAATGATGTTGATTCTACCAATCCAAGAACATGGTATGTTCTTCCATCTGTTTATGTCTTCCTCTATCTCTTTTTTCAACGTCTTGTAGTTTTCTGAGTAGAGGTTTTTTACCTCTTTAGTTAAGTTTATTCCTAGGTATCTTAATTTTTTTGGTGCGATGGTAAATGGGATTGTTTTTCTAATCTCTCTTTCTGAAAGTTCACTATTGGTGTATAGAAATGCCTCAGATTTCTTGGGGTTAATTTTGTATCCTGCTACATTGCCAAATTCATTTATTAGGTCTAATAGTTTTTTGATGGAGTCTTTAGGGTTTTTTATGTATAATATCATGTCATCTGCAAATAAGGACAGTTTTACTTCTTCTTTTCCAATTTGGATGCCTTTTATTTCTTCTTCTTGTCTAATTGCAATGGCTAATACTTCCAGTACTATGTCGAACAGGAGTGGTGAGAGTGGGCATCCCTGTCTTGTTCCTGTTCTTAGGGGAAATGGTGTTAGTTTTTGTCCATTGAGTATGATGTTGGCTGTGGGTTTGTCATATATGGCTTTTATTATGTTGAGGTATGATCCTTCTATTCCCACCTTGCTGAGAGTTTTTATCAGAAATGGGTGTTGGATTTTGTCAAATGCTTTTTCTGCATCAATTGATATGACCATGTGGTTTTTTTCTTTCTATTTGTTTATGTGATGTATCACGTTTATTGATTTGCGGATATTGTACCATCCTTGCATCCCTGGGATAAATCCTACTTGGTCGTGGTGTATGATCTTTCTGATGTACTGCTGGATCCGATTTGCTAAGATTTTGTTGAGGATTTTGGCATCTATGTTCATGAGGGATATTGGCCTGTAATTCTCTTTCATTGTGTTGTCTTTCCCTGGTTTTGGTATAAGGGTGATGCTGGCTTCATAGAATGATCTTGGAAGCTAATATTTTGTTGAGATTTTAGCATCTATATCCATCTGGGATGTTGGCCTGTAATTCTCTTTCTTTGCAATGTCTTTATCACGCTTTGGAATTAGGGTAATGCTGGTTTCATAAAGAGTTTGGAAGTGTTCTTTCCTCTTGGATATTTTGGAATATTTTTAGGAGGATAGGTGTTAGTTCTTCTTTGAATATTTAGTAAAATTCCCCTGTTGTCTCTTTTCATTTTGTGGAAGTTTTCTTTTGCTGTACAGAAGATTTTTATTTTGATGTAGTCCCATTTGCTTATTTTCTCCTTAGTTTTCTTTGCCCTACGAGATGTATCTGTAAACATATAGCTATGAGGGATGTCTGAGAGTTTGCTACCTCTGGATACTTCTATAGTATCCAAATGTAGGTCTCACAACTTACATATAAGTCTTTTATCCATTTTAGAGTTTATACCTATTATGGTGTAAGTTGGTGGTCTAGTTTCATTTTTTTTCATGTATCTGTCCAATTTTCCCAACACCATTTATAGAAGAGACTGTCTTGACTCCATTGTATGTTCTTGCCTCCTTTATCGAATATTAATTGAACATAACGGCTTGGCTAAATTTCTGGGTTCTCTGTCCTATTCCATTTATCTATATGCCTGTTCTTGTGCCAGTACCAGGCAGTTTTGAGTACAGTGGCTTTGTAGTGTAACTTGATATCTGGTATTGTGATTCCTCCAACTCTATTATTTTTTCTCAAGATTGCTACAGCTATTCGGGGGTCTTTGGTGTTTCATATAAATTTTTGGAAAGTTTGTTCTAGATCTTTGAAATATGCCATTGGTATTTTAATAGGGATTGCATTGAATACATAGATTGCTATGGGTAGTATGGACATTTTAATGATGTTGATTCTACCAAGACATGAACACAGTATATTCTTCCACTTGTTTATATCTTCCTTTATCTCTTTTTTCAACATCCTGTAGTTTTCTGAGTACAAGATTTTTCCTTCTTGGTTAAGTTTATTCCTAATTATCATAATTTCTTTGTTGCAATGGTAAATGGGATTGTTTTCTTTCATTTCTTTTTTTGAGAGTTCATTATTGGTGTATAAAAATGCTATCAATTTATGCGTGTTAATTTTGTATCCTGCTACATTGCTGAATTCATTTATTGAATCTATTAGTTTTTTATG